CTTGTACCAACAGTTTATCCAGCAATGTATATACACAACTGTACGTGCTCATGGAAGAATACACAGTGCTGGGTAAGGCATAATGTTGTTTTCATTTAGGCTGATAGCGAAGACGTTGGCGTTGGCTGATTGAACGAGTGCAGAGAGCAACGAAAACAGAGCGAGAAGGTGCGAGAAACTGAGACGGAGAGAGAGAGAGAGAGGGAGAGAGAGGGAGAGAGAGAGGGGAGAAACCCTCTGCAGCTCCAGCTCTTGTTATTTTAACCCAGATTCAGCACTGAAATATGGCCACCATGTGGACCCTCTCAAGAAGTGTGGCTCCAGTTGTCGGCCCCGGCCAATCAGAGGAGGCCGTGGCGGTCCGGGAGGAGGGACGTGGGGAGGGTCTGGGAGTCAGAGTCTTCTGAAAGAGAGGCATTAAAGTGTGTGAGCAGAGGAGGAGAGTCAGGGCAGAGAAGCCACATCTCCAGGAGAGCTGGACTATCCACAGGCCGATGGAGACAGGTTGGACTATTGTCTTATTTTTCTTAATTGTCTTTCATTCGTTTCCCATTGAACCCACTGAGGTGACACCTTGAGGGGAAGGGGGGGGAAAGGGGGGGGGGCACATCAGTCCCTTACTCATCTAAACTGTCAGCTGTGTTCCTGGCTGCTGTAATGGGATATAAATATTGTGCTTTAGGTCTGAATCACAAGCTCTCTGTAGCGTCACACAGCTCCAGGATGCCGAGCAGATGTGCAGAGGTGTTAGGAAAGACTGGCTCCTTCACTGTGGAAAACCTGACTACAGACTCCTTTTGTTATTGACTGCTATTATTACCACTGAAGTCTGCAATTTTCCTTAAATAATCCCTAAATTGTCCTCTAAAGCCGACTCAGCAGCCACGAGAAAACACTGAAAAAGAAAAGAAAAGGATGGATGTTGTGCTTTTGTTTGTAGGTGATTGACTCACATGGTTGTCACTGACCCGGTGATTGTAGTTGTAGGTTTATTTTCTTCCATGTGGTTTATCTTAATGTCGGAGTGTGTTATTAAACAAGGAAGTGTGTGGACTGGCATCTGGGGTCCTCCGTGACCAATCATCTCCTGCATTCCCCTTCAGTAGCTGCAGGGGATTCTCGTTCAAACGGATCCTCACAGATTATAAGGACGTCCTTTGTTTTAAAATTGCTTTGCTGTTGGGTCACATAAGGTAAAAAGATATTTAGATATGTTAATATTTAACAGAATGATGTGCTTGGATTGTAGATGCTGGACAGGTTGTAGAAGTCTCGTCCCTGTCTTGATGTCCTCTCAGGATTGTAGACTTTCCATAAACTCCAAAAAACAAATAGTCTCCATGGCGACGCGTGACTCTACTCATGGCATGTCCATAGATATGTAGATTGTTTCCTGTCAGTCAGTGGCAGCGTGGAAAAGGCGTTTCCTGTTGTTTTGCTGCTGAGATAAGAGAAAGGCTGAGTTGTCGCTTTGAACCGGAGTCGTGCACTTTAGCTTTTTTAGCCACAACAGCAGCATAGCAACAGGGATGGCTGTGTTGGTTGGCTAGGACTGAAATATCTCAAAGATTATTGGATGGATTCCTATGGGATTTAGTACAGACATTCATGTTCCCCAGAGGATGAATCTTACACATGTTGGTGATTCCCTGGGTTTTCCTGTAGTGTACTATGAGATTGACATTTTTTGGTTTTGATTGACATGTCTTGACAACTGGAGAACTTGTGACATAACTGGATGTCAGGAAATTTTGTACAGATGTTCATGTTCCCCAGAGGATGAATCGTACAGACGTTAGTGATTCCTTGCTTTTCCCCTTTCTGCACCTTGAAATCGACATTTTTACTTTTTAATGTGACATGTCTTGACAACAGTTGGATGAGTTGTCATGGAATTTAGTTCAGATATTCGTGGTGCCCAGAGGATGAATCTTACAGATGTTGGTAAATCCCCGGGGTCTTCCTGTAGTGTACTATGAGGTTGACGTTTTTTGTTTTTTTTTGCTTTTGATTGAACAGATTGCCGTTACAAACGTCTGTGCTCCCCTCAGGATGACTTGTGATCCCTTTACTTTTCTTCTAGCACCATCATCAGGTCAAACTTGTATTTTCACCCTTTTGGGGGGTGGGTGGGGGGGTGGCATGTGTCAGATGGCAGGGTGAGTGTGGTAAGTGTGTGCGCTCATGGGGATTAGTGTTTGGGGGTCAATGGGGTGGTGGGTGCAATCTGAGGGCCGTAAACTTCTCTGTGTATGTAAACTGAGACTCAAATAATCCTCGCCCCCCCCCCCCCCCCCCCCCCAGTTACTCAGGGAGCATAAAGGACGTCGTAAATCCACCTCGAGCTTCACATACATAGACTACAGACTACCATGCTTCACTCTATCTTGGGAAACTTCTGTTCATGATAACTGCTCAGATCTGTTCGCCTGGGAAAACGGCGAGCAGACGTCTGGACATATGTTGTGACGAATACCAGGTACATTAATAGAAGCGGACTTGTCCAGGCCTGTTTGAGAGCTAATAACCCGCATTCAAGGCAGCTCCAGACAAAACTGAGACCCACCGGTTGGTGCTGCGCAAACCACCAGGCACGTGATGCGAAACCTACTCAAGCAAAGCGAGGTCAAAGGTTAAGTGTGCGGGTCTTCAAAGCTTCGAATCTCACCAGGTGGTTCGAATTGTTTCAGCTACAACAATATTCCTGTCAGTGAGGAATTAGTCTTCGCAAACTGGCCGGTAAATGTTTGACCTCAAAACTTCGGACTGCCCGCGCCTCATGCCTGAGAAGCCGTTTGTCTTAAATCCTAACGTCAAACATCAGTCATGTCAGAGGACCTCTGGGACCCCTCGCCGCCCCCTCGCCACCCCCCCGCCCCTCAAACGTCAAACGGTCCGTGTGTGTGTGAGGGGGTGGGAAGAGTTTTTCAAAAAAAGTTCTGTTGGTGAACGTGCGTCTGCATCTGTCCCTGCATCTGTTCAGGGTGAGGCAATGAGCTTGTGATTCATAAAATTAATTTTGGTCCAAATCCTCAGAGGCGGCTGTCTGTGCCTGGTCTTATGATCTCATCCGTCTTACACACTCCAAACATACTGTACATTAGCTTACACACACACACACACACACACCACCCTGCAAAAGATCACAGATCAGGGTCATTTTCTCCGCTGGAAAAGAAGAAGGAGGAAAAAAGAAAGAGAACTGTTGTTGCTTTCTCAACAGGATGACAAAGATCAAAGTTTGTGTAAGGCTCTTACTCACACACTGAGTCTTAACTCTCTGGGAACTGACCACAGAGGGACGACCGTGGCTCCCGGCCCTCGCTGGAAGGGGAGCGCCGGGGGCCGAGTGATGGAAACCCTCGCGGTGCAGGCGGCACACGTGTCAACAGCGGCCCCCGGCTCCCTCTGCTGCCCTGCCAAACACTGGTTGGAGAATGACTTACAGACTCCCGAGAGACGGCAGGGAAACCGGAGCAGAACAAAAAGACTCAGAGAAAAGAAACAACTGTCAGCTTTGGCCCACAGCTGAATTTATAACATGAGCACAAAGGCCTGAGTGCGTCTTTTAATCTCCTCCAGCTTCTGTGCGTTAATGCACGTCCTGCTCAGGTTTAATGTGAATGTCTCTCAAAGATAAAATCTCAAACTTTCTCTAAAGAAATCTCTAAAGAGCCTTGAATAAGGATCCCTGTGATGAAAGTCTCGAGAGCCTAGAAGTCTGTCTCCATCCATAATCGCACTGTAGTCTGCTGTCAATCAGTTAGTCGATTAGCAGAAAGTTAATTCCTCTTCAAACTGTTTTGATCGTAGATTCGTTGTCACAGTTATTTAATCAGGTCAGATACTAAACATGCTGCTTCCAGCTTCGCCATCGTGATGTTTTTCAGCGTTTTACTGTTTTATATGTTGTAAACTGAACATGTTTGTGTGTTTTGGACTGTTGGTTGGATGAAACTACTTTACGAGTTTAGATCAGCGTTTTTTATGATCCTCTGATATTTTATCGTCATAAAATTGACTTTTTTATGAACGAAACTAGCTGCCGTTTCCTGGTTGCAGAGTCAGTGTGTGCAGAGCAGAGCTGCAGGGGTGATGCCACTGAGGTTATCAGTGGTCATGTGACAGCCGGACGGCCGTTGTGTTATCAACCGTTGGCTGACCTCAGGTCAGCTGTGTGGGCTGCTTGATGAGAGGCCTCAGGCTTGTTTTTCTCTCTGTCTGCATCCGTTTCTCATTCTGCTGTTTCCACATCTATGTTAACCCTCCCATCTCACACACACACACACACACACACGCCCAAAGGCAGACATGCACGTTAACTTTCTGTTTCGCTGTTTTATATTTTTACAACCTCAGTCATGAAGCTCCCCCGGGACGAGAGAGTTCAGCGAGTATCCTGATCACAAATCTTTTAACATAAACACTGAAAACAGAGGAGGCCCACTTCAAACGAACACATCCCAACACAACTCATTAGACCCCCCCCCCCCCCCCTCCTAAACATCTACACCAGGAGCCTCCCTTCCCCAGCTCAGTCTGCTCCTCCTCCACACTTTCCCCCCTTCTCCACACTTCTGCTCCTGAGAACAGAAATCAATGATCATCACACGCAGTTACTTTTTTTTATACATGCAATTAAAGCCCTCACCCTGTTCTTCTGTCTCTGTTTTATATCGTAGGTGTGTCTGATGTGACGCCAGCGGGCTGGCTCAGGGAACACGACTTCAATACAATGTAGACACCGAGCAGCAGACAGAATCAGAGTCAGAGCACCGAGCCGACAGAAGGAGGGAGAGCTCAAGGAGGAGGAAGAACAGCTGTGCTGAAGATAAGACGGACAGAGAGAAGAGGGACGCAGCAGACTGTGAATCATTGACGTGAACCTCGTGTGAACAGCAGTGTCATCACCTTCTCCTTTTCCTGTGAAGTCTTCAGTCACTCGCACACCTCCGCCGGAGACGGATCACCTGTTCACCTCTCAGCCAGTCTGCACCGAGGGAGACTCCAGCCACCGTCAGCATGTGCCATGTGATTGTCACCTGCCGCTCCATGCTGTGGACTCTGCTGAGCATCGTGGCGGCGTTCGGAGAGCTCATCGCCTTCATGAGCACTGACTGGCTGGTGGGATTCCCCCGCACGCCAGACGCCGTCTTCGGCCCCCATGGGGCCACCGCAGCCGGAGAGGCCTACAGGCCCACTTTAGGCATCTACGGCCGCTGTATAAAACTGCCCCACCTGCAGCGTGGGGTACTGTGCGGACCGTACGCGATACACTTTGGAGAGATTGCCAGCGGGTTCTGGCAGGCTACTTCTATCTTCCTGGCGGCAGGGATCCTGCTGCTGTGTGCCGTGGCGTTCATCTCGGTCTTCACCATGTGCTTCCAAAGCATCATGAAGAAGAGCATCTTCAATGTGTGTGGACTGCTGCAAGGGATCGCAGGTGAGACTCACACACACACACACACACAACACACACAACACACACATCCCATTAAAATGTGTTTTATTACATTAGAAAAAGGTTCAAGCCGTGATTGGCTCTTGCTCAGACACAGAGGTATCAGACAGACTCAGTGTCAGTGAATTAACAGTCTTGAGGTGTAAGTATTCTCCGTCAGCGCCGCTGGTGACAGACGGTCACGCAGCTTCAGGAACCCGCTCTGACAACATCCTCCTGACGTCACGTGGAGCTGTTTCCAACCGTTCTGATATTCACGCCCACTTCACAGCAGCTGTGCTGAGGTGACAGCGGAGCCAGGGACTGAATTTCCATCTCGGCCATCTTTACACATCTCCTTCCGTTGTGTTTCCTGTTTACAACCCAGAGCAACTCTCCAGTCACCGTGTTTAAACGATATCACGCCTGATTCTGTTCGAGCGTCACCTCACTTGTACACATCGTCAAGCCGCACTCGACACGCTATCAACACGTGATAAACTAGCTCATTTATTCTTTGATATAATTTCAATTTACACGTGAATCCTCTGTATCTCATGAGGATCCAGTTTGTGCTCGAAATTTGAAATCTGAAAGGGGAGAGTTTTGCTCTGAACTCGTGAGGAGAGAAGAATCTGAAAGTTAACTCGGGTCATAAAAACCCTCATTGTTCCTGTTTATTCCTGTGGCGTCCGTCATTTCTCAAGGTAAATGAAAAGTTATGATCTCAGCTCAACGCATTCATTATACGAGCGCCACAACTCCCACTGCTTGAATTATGTGGTTTGATTCTCGTGGAGCCTCAGGTGAACTTTTACCCAAGCAGTCGAGAGTTTAAAAGACACGGCAGCTCGTTCCTCACCGCCGAGGCCGCCGCCCAAATATTTACCTTCTGCGCAGTCAAGTCGGAGCTTTTCTTGACAGTCGATTGGCTGACGACGCATGCGTATCTGGGTTTGTGTGTGAAGGGTGTGTGTCCTGCGTCTATGGTTATGTGTCTGAGGCCAGATCCTCGGCCGCCTCGACTCGCTGTGGTGAACTCTGGAAGGGAGGAGGCCATGAGATCATGCTCTCAGCTCTCTGCTGATTATGGCTGTCCTCCTCCCCCACAGTTGTTTGTTTGGTGCAAAGGCCCAAACAGAAAAGGTGGGAGTGTGGTGACGGATAAGCCCGACTTTACAACCCCAGCTCTGTGCTGACCCGAGACATGTCCACCAGGACTGTAGGTGCACGAGTGACACGCAGTCATGTGACGATTTACGATTTTACTGGCCCTTTAACACTGGATCTCTTGAGTTTATTAAGCAGTTTTGGGCAGCGTTGCAAACCAATGAGCAGGACTCCTCAAAGGCCATGTTGGATTTTTGTGTGATTCTCTCATCAGTGTGATGAAGTACTTAATTTACCATCGACTGGATTAAACAAATCAGATATTCCCTGTTGCTTATTTCACATGCGAACAGTGTAAGTGATTTTCCAGAAAATCTATAATGACACAGTTAAAGGAAAGTTAAATGTCCCATATTTTCCTCTTCTCCTGCGTTTTATTTGACGTGTTGCTCCATAAGAAGAATATATTTGTGGTTTTAAGAACCAAAAAAAACCATCTCAATGTAGTTTCAAATCTCCGGCTGACGGTTCTCTGAGTGATGAAATTAAATTCTAGCAGATTTCAGGTGAAACACAGGTTGGATGGTGGGTCCAGGTTTAATCGAGACATGTCCTGAGTGGGACATTTCACAGGTGAACTGAGTGCTGAAGGAGCACTTTTAAATGTCTGTTTCTATATTATATATTTCTCATTTATGTCGCCATGACTCTTTGTTGCCATTGGAATCCAAAGGCAGTGAACATGTGACGAACGAGAAATCACATTTTTGGAAGAGCATTCGTTTAAGTTCACAACGTGGTGGAGGTTTAACTCTTCCAGCAGGAACGTCTGTTGCAACGTTTTACGTCCACTGGAGAATCAGCTTTATGTAGCTACTATATGAGTTTGGATAAAATGGCGTTCTACAGTCGTAACTGTACAAATGTTTTCCTGTCACGGTCGACGGTGCAGTATCTCAGGCTTATATCTGTCAGAGGAACAGCAGTGTTACATCACATGAAATCCTGCTGTTTACCATCGAGAGAAGCGAACCCGGCTGAGGTAACGAAAGTGAGGAAATACACCGCTGAGTCTCCTCGCTGTGGAGAGGATGAGGATGTGGAAGAGGAAAGGGGGCGAGCGGAGCTTCAAACAGCTGAGGAGGCGGGAGGTTTCTTCTTCCTCCTGGAGCCTAAAGGCCGATAAACTTTTACTAATTTCAACCACGGGAAGAGATAAGACCCAGAATTTCCCCCCTCTCCTGTCCGACATCCAGCTGTGTCACCGCTCATGTTCCTCCGGGTCTGTTGTTCCTCCGGCGTTAATCACTCGCTCAGCGCGCACGAGGGTCTTCGACTTGACTTTCCACGAGGCCTGTGAATGATATCACTCTCGCTGATATCCACCACCAGAAAAAGTACCACACCGACTCTCTCCTAATCATTATTTCCACAGCGGCTGCCGACCCTCCGGTAATGAGAAAACTGGAGCCAGACAGCAGATGTTTGGGGAAGTGATTGACCTCAGATGGGAAGATTGTGATGCCGTTGCCAGAGATGGTCACGTCATTGCACTGGAGTTCCTCCAAACCCCCGTTAACCTAATCTTCACTTACGCTGATGTCACTTTTACTTTTTACTTTGGACTTTCTCGTCCCCTCTGACACACTTTCTGACGGCCTTAAACCGCCGGTCAGTTTAAGCTCAGGTGGTTTTAAGCTTTCAGCTGAGGGACTGTGATCGAATGGCTAAAGCAGACCCTCCTGCTGAGGGTCAGTCCAGTAAACTCACAGGCGCACATTTTAGGGTCCATAAAGACTTTTTTCTCCGTGCACTTTAACTTTGTCGCTCATTCGCATTCATGTCGAAGAGGATTTAGAGACAAGATGGCAAACAAAGTCGGCCGTAAAACTGTCTCCAGTTCTTGTGCGTTTTTGCTGGCTTTTATTAGCTGCTGTAAACTTTCCCTCTGGTGAGTCACAGGTTTGACTGTTGACTGTGACTCAGCTCCACGCTGGAAGTGAAGGAAACAAAACAATACCTTACAGGAATTTACGCAGCGTCACTGTCACGGCGACGACTCACACACGAGAATATCATGTGTTACGTAAGAAGGGGATAAGAGATGGGATTCCTGTGTGTTTATTAGCTTTTTCTGGATACCTGTGTTTGCAGTGGAGGTGTGGCTGTTTCATTAAGACACCAGACACATGTAGAGTAAATATGTGCTGTCAGGAAAGCCTTTGTCTTTTCTATACTGCAGCATTTACACATATACATCTGTACACTTGCAGTGGGACCTTTAAGAATTTATAAACAGCATCCTCTTCATGTGGATCCCAGAGGTGGACCTGGTTCTTCTTCCTGGAAAGGAGAGACGTGGCCAGATTTCTGGGAGCAAAGTGCAGACCTGCTGTACGGGGGGGGGCAGAGGTTAGAAAGGAGGGTGTGGGGGCTGGGAGGTGGTTGATTGGTGGCAGGGAGGCGGCTATCAGAAATAGATTGACGGTTGGAGAATTGACAGTTAGGAAGTTAACAGAGACAAGAGCCAGTGCAGAGGGAATACTGAGGCTGGAAGGGTGGAGTGCAGCGGGATATTAGGTTAGGAGGTCCGAGTGTGTGTGTGTGTGTGTGTGGAAGGGTGGGGGGGGGGGTGGGGGAGGGGGTCTTAGGAGGGGTGGGGTTGGGAATTAAAACCATACCTTCAATCCATCACTGAAGCCGGTCTGGACGTCAGGGCTATGCAGCAACATGTGGAAAGAATTTATGACCTAGTTTTCATTTCCTTGTTTAATACGATATTGGGCGCTTTAAGAGCAAGAGAATGGGAGGAGGAAGAAAGGAAGCAGAGAGAGGGAAAGAGAGGGAGATTAGGAGAGAATGAAAGGAGAGAGTTTCACCTCCACACTTTGTTTTTATGAAGGAAAGCAGCGAGAGCCGCTCGTCGAAGGAGAGCTAGTTGGGTGAAAACATTAAGACTGAAGTTCTCCTTCCCTGGCTGCTTCATTTATTATCTGTAATTTTATTATTGTAAATGTTTCCGGCTGAGCTTTGATTGGTGGCAGGCCCCTCGTCTGGCCAGCTGACTGATCTGCTACCACGGGAGGAAGTGCAGAGCAGAGGAAACGATGCAAACAAGGCATCTGAAAATAATGCATTCATTTCAGTTCCCTCCAAAAAAGATCATTAGTTCACTTACAATGAGGTAACCTGGGGTGCGCTGGCTGCAGGCATGGATGCAGTATGAGTCAAGTGTTCCTGCACATACACAAGTAAAAGGCCCCCCACCCCTCCCATTCACATATGACTACAAATGACTACAAATGAGGTGACTGCTTTTTGTGGTTGTTTTGAGTCTCTGTGGTTGCTCTGGGTCTCTGGGATTGTCCTGCCTGTCTGTAGTAGCTTTTAACTGAACTCTCAAACAAGAAATATTCAGGGCGGTTCATTCTCCGTGGGCCTGTTCAGTAATCCATCCATGAATCCTGCTCACGTTTATTGATTAATAATATTACTAGGAATTATTGTCATATGTTGTCAAACAGCTGACAAAAATGTGATGTAAATGTCAATAAATGAATGTACTTGTACAATAACTGCAGGTCTCATTTTTTATTTTTCAGCATTTTTAAAATTACATTCTACGTGCTCTTTAAAAATGTTAAAAAGTCTTTAGTTTAATTTAGTAGAAAGAAGGTTGTTTTTAGACCTGTACGAGCAGTGTGTGTGTCAGAAATAGTATTTAAGTGTTGAAGTCAAGTCGGCGCGGCAGCAGAAGTGGGTCACAGTAACACAGGAAGTGACCCCGTCCTTCCACCAAGACACAGGACGCCGGAGGGTCGGCCGGGGACTGGGGCAGGCGGGAAAGACCTTCGGCTACCTTTTCCTGTTGTTCTCCTCGCTCCGTTGTGCAC